CCTCCTGGATGATTTAGCAGAATGTTATTATTTCTACTAGATATTACGAATCTGAATAGGAGACATTCCCCTCATTTAATTTCATTTCTGGATGGAAACTGAGGTTAGGCAAATATCAACCCTCATGGATAATTATTTAACCTGTCTTTGGCTTGTGTTTATGAATTGTTTATAAATACTCGAGCCACTTTTTGTGAATGCATTTCAAGGGACCTACCTACCCACTTATTCACCACTTCCATCCATTTATAATTTAAACCTTAATTTAAACCATTTATAAATATTTCTCGAACATGATTCTACTTACATGCTTAAATTAATTTCAACTTATGGCTATCAGCCCCCGGCGGCTAAGAAAATTGATCAATGTGTTGGCTTGTAATCATCATGGCAATCACAATTCAATGCATGTGTTCCAATCAACAGAGTTTGATAAAAGAACCTTGGCATTCAATTTAGTCATGGATTTGCTATCCTTGGTTGACAATCCTCCAACGGAAAAAGAAACATAAAGTCTTTTACCCAGGATTCCCTGCTTCATTAGTACAATGCTCCCTCAAAGTTGTAACAGATTTCAGCAAAAGCATGCAATAACAAATAGCATGGAAGTGTACAAGGTTGCTTCACTCATCACATTACTTTGGTCACAACTTGCCTACGTCCATGTCGTGAACAACCCTAATGACCGTTATTTCCTCAATCTTTACTAATCTTCCTTCAAAGAAATCTTACGTTTATTTCACAACTTATCTTTCAGAACAAATTTGCACCTTTGATGTGCTAAATGACCTGTATATAAAATCATGTTCCCATAACATACTAGCATGGTTATGTCCTATACTCTTCAATTTCATCAAACTTCACACTACCAACATAAGAGACAGAAGCAGTATAAATCTATTCATCTATAATTTAAGAAATTTAAGAAATTAAACACATTTAATCAATATTAAGAATGCAATCTTCTTATTAGAAAGAAATATAAAAATGGCTAAAGACGTAATTGAAAATATCGGATACTTACCAAGGGAGGCTGAATCACTCTGTCCATTCTTGACAACCTAAGTACTCGCCAATTCCAAATTTGTCCAAGTTCAGAGCTGAACTGGGAAAGTTAATTCATTCTCCCAATCATCAGATCCCACGAGCATTTTAAATTCTTAATGCTACCAAATGCACAAATTAACAATGAATCAACATATGAAATTCACCAATTACATAAAAAGATTAATATCAGAAATCAGTACAGAAAACATTCTTACTCAAGAATATCAAACTGAAACTCAGACATGCTTCATTTCGATGAAGAAAAACGAGTAAAAACGAAAACCCACCACCAAAAACTTGAAGATCAACTCAAAGTACAGTCTGAAACGATCAACAAATTGAATCCATGTGCAAAATCAGGAACCCACAAGGAGAAACTTGATAAATTTGAATTGTCGTGGATTATAGAGGAGAGAAATTTTTTTTGAAAACCCACGAATGTCTTATCTGGAAAAAGAAACCCTTAGAAGCCAAAATGCGAGACAGCAGGAAAATGGGGGCAAAAGAAAAAAAAGCATGGAAGAAAGAGAGACCCCTCTCAATTCTCATTCAATTCTCTTTCACCATTAAAATTCGGTGGAAAATTGGGCCCATCAAAAACCCATTAGCACAATAAACCAAGCAAAAGAGTGTGTTCAACAAGAGACCAAAGAATGGAGCAAAAAGCAAACCTAAACCATTAATTGCAACAAGATAAAGATAAAGTAGTTTTGAATTTGGAAGGCAAATAAAATAGGGAATTGCAAGAACAAGAAGTAATGGTGAAAAACCTAAAGGTCAAAATGAGTGATGGAATGTAATGCAATCTTCCCCAGTACAATATACGCTAGAATTAAAGTATACGTATAGACAAACATTCAAAACATGAATCATGGGACCCATATTCTCCTCAGTCCTAACAAATCTGCCTCAAAGTAGTAGAGATTTTCCATTGCGTGTTGGCCCACTTTGATGATACTTCAGAGTTAGGCTTGACTTGCTTATTCTGCTCTGCGTCTTGATTGTTTTTGGAAATGGAAAAGTACAAAATATTGGTAACCATGTTTATCAACTTTAAATTTATTTTTTTTATTAAATTCATTTTCAACCACAATCTTACGTTATCGACATTTTTTTATCAATTTTCAATTATATATTTCATTGATTTTTTTTATTAAAATCTTCTAAAAGTCTGATTTTTACCTGAATCAAACCGGGGACAAGTATAAAGAGCACAATAACTTGTCTCAAAATCTTACATTGTGTTCATGAAGTAATGGTGATGGTTATCGAAGAATCAATTAATAATGATCAAGAATACATTGCGATGGATCGTGTTGTGGTGAAAATGTCTTGAATCAACACAAAACAAAATTGTTGAAACCTTCCTTGTTAGAGCTAGCAAATTTAGTCCCTGTTTGATAGAAAATTTTATTTAATTTTTTTGTCAAAATCAAAGTCAATAATAAATTATAATCACATATTTTATAGAACTCATAACTTTTCAACTATATATTTCATTAGTTTTTATCAAAATCTGAAATAATCTCCAACAAACATTCTTTTTGGGTTTTGATAAAAATCATATTTTTAGTAAATTTTGATTTAAAATATGAGTCTCGTAAAACATTTGATTAAATATGAGTTTGAGAAAAAATGAATTTTATGAAATGAAGACCACGGTAGCCTAAAAAATGCTCAAGAAGAGAGACACCGGTCGACACAAAAGTTGAAGACTTCCGTTAAATTCACGCACTTTTTGGCCCAGTTGATTGAGGGAGGTTAGTACCAATCTTTAAACCATTTTCACATTTGAGGTCAATGGTTTAAGAATTGGTACTTTCCTCCCCCTCCACTCCTCTCACAAAAGAAAGAAATTACTCTAAAGGTGACGTTAGGTTAACTCTACGAAGGGTCGTTTGTATAGCTAGCTACTTGCTCATAATTTTTAACCCAATTGGGACTCAAAATCACTTAAAAGCTGTTTGTCTCCCATTATTTGTTCGTCCCTGATAATTTTGTGTTCGAGGAAAAAGAATTTAAATACATGATACAATATTCCCGTACGTCGATTTAATTTTAATAAACCAATACCATAAGGCACTTCCTTATAATAAACTTGGCAATAAAACATAAGTGGCAAGATAGACTTCTAGAAGTTACCATTATTAATTAGTAGATATAGAACAAATAGTCCACTCATTAGACTTTGTGAGATGTATTCGAGGGTGCGTTACTTGGCTGGCAAAATTATCAATTCATTTCCTTTAATCCATAGATTTTAAAATATTTTTATTTTAAAACTGTTGAATCTCGATGATCAAGAATTAGACTCTCAAAACATGTAAATAGTCGAGATTCTCGAAGAAGTTGGCCAAACAAGTAGTAATTTACCTCAAATTTCATTTTTTTTTCCTTCGAAACTGATTTTTTATTCAATTTCTAATTTCATAATCGACTTTGACTTGCAATATCCTTTCTGATTAGCATATAATCATCAACTCTATAGATCGTTATTGAACAGTTTTCAAGATGACACGTTATAAAGGTGTGTTCGAGATCGATTTAGAAGGGTATAAAGAATTTATTTTTCGAAAAAAAAAAAAAAATGAGACCAACTATATATAAATAGGTGTTAAATGAAAATAAAAATTTAGTCTCATCCAATATTATCTGTGTAACTTTCCACATAGCAAAATTTAATTGGAATATAAATTGGTGGATGGAACACAGCCTTCAAATATGGACTTTTGGTTTGAGTGGGAGACTTTTCAAAATTGAAAAGGATTTTTGCCTTTTTAACGTATACATATTAATCTTGACTCCCAATTTAGTGTATATAAAAAGGTTAGAGTTTTACTTTTAGTTCAAAGATTTTTCTAGAATAACTTTTTTTATTATTTTTGGTAAAGTTTGAATTTAAATTAAATTAAATATGTTTCTTGTTCACATATATGTACAATTCACAATTTATAATTAAACTTTACAAATCATGAGATGGCAATGGGGCAGGTTCAGGGTGGGGCGTCCCCGCCCCGCCCCCCCTTACACGGGACGGGGCGGGTTGGGTTTGGAGTGCGGACTTGTCCCGTTTCCTATCCCGTTTGTTTTTATTTTTTTCAAAAACTTTCAATTAACTATTTTTTGTTTTTAATTTGTAATTAATTGTTTTTATTTATTTTTCACGGGGCGGGGCACCCCCTCCCCTCCTTGCCCCACCCCACCAACCCATCGGTGTGGGTTTTTTTGGCCCCGAATGGGGCGGGGCGAGTTTTTTTGCCATTACTATCATGAACCATCCGGTGTTTTTTTTGTTTGGTGTGTGCTTTTTAGCCAAATGATGGTGTATATATATATTGGATTTCTAGAGTAGAAATAATAATAATTTAAAGTAATTAGTTCATATAATAATAACAATAAACTTAATAAATAGATAATTCAAACCACTCTCATGCTTTTCTTTGTTTTATGGCTCGATGTTTCAGTGCTATAGACGTAGAGGAAATACGCCAATCCAGAAGAGAATAAAAAATGTACGAGTAATTCAACTTAAGTTGCTCGTGCCTATGGGATTTTTTAGCTAAAGAGGTTGAAGAATTTTTACTTTCATCTCTGTCAAAGATTTTGATGAATGAAAAATTATCGTCATATAAGGGCCCATATTTTTGTTTTCGGTTATTATTTGATATGCAGAAGAAAAAGGTTTTTTAATTGTAGGTTTCATAGCTAATTAGTATTACCTAATTGGTTTAATCATAAAATCATAGTTGGAGAAATGATTTTAAAATTATGGTACAACTGAAAAAATGGTGAGAATTTGAATTTCTGTTTAGAGTACAACTGAGCAATGCACCTGATGCTATCATAAAAAAAAATGCTAAATATCTTAAATTTCAATGGATCTCGTAAATGATGTATAGTATGAAAATTTTTCCAAGTGAAATTATTGAACGCTTGTCTTATTCATTTCGAAGCTTCCTTTATCTTTTTCTTTTAAGAAAGGGATTGTTTTTTAATATTAAATTTATTCAAGTAGAAATTTTATTTAAATAAAAAATGTACAAAAATAAAACAATTTACAGTCCTTTTCTAATGCACGTCAAGATTTGAATAACCCGTACTTTCGGAAAATACAAAATATTCATGACAGTGAGTATAAAAATTAAATTAAAATTAATATAACTTGTTGGAATAGTTCTATTTCAGTTATCTTATTTTGAATGTATGCTTTAAGATTGTTAAAAACATTTTTGATTTTTCGTTCTGAAAAATTATTTATCGAAACAAAAAATTGAAAAATACGTTTAGTTTGAGTTTGGAAAATTGTTTTATGATTTTTATTTCAAAAAAATTGTTTTCAATAGAATAATTTTAAGTAATATAAATATTTTAAAGTTGATGAATTTTATAATCTTTTCTCTACAAAAGTAAAATAAAACTAAATTATAAATTAAGTGGTAAAACATAGAAAATAAAAAATAATAAGGATGTTGACTGCAAAATTTTTATCTTTGTTCATTTAGTATTATTTTAAAAATTATATTTAAAAAATAATAAGAATTTGAACTATTTTATTTCTTATTTTCCTACAAATTTTGTATTTCTAAAATTTTCAACTTTTTTTTTTTTAAGAATTTTTTCAGAATTTCAGAATTTACCGTTTTAATAACTTTTTTAGATTTTTATTTTTCAGAATTTTATTTTTTAGAATTTAATTGAAATAAAATTTTACTCAAACGCTTTTATTTTTGAAAATATATTTTTAAAAAAATACCAAATCAAACAAGTTTTGGGCTTTTCAAAATTAAAAATTGAAAAGAACTTAAAAATAGCAAATGAAACATCTCAAACTTCTGAAGTAGTATTTTAAATTTTAACAAATATAATAAACTGTAGGGAAAGGGTGAAAACAACAGTAACAAAAGGCATCTTGTTAAACTGATAATTCTGATAAAAGCGCGTTACAAATGTGTGTATCACTATGTAAATGATTAACGTGTTTCAGGCACACGACTAAGGATGAAG